ACCACTGAGGACAGTCTTGAGATGGAATACATCGTTTCCAGTAAAAAGGGTTTCCAGTCCTTTACATTCACCATGTAAATACCGCAGTATTATGCTGCTATCTCACACTGGTATTCTGGGAGAGCGTGGCTATTCTTCGGTAGAGCCTACCCATTCGTACTACATCCATAATAAAAGTTGGCTCTACCATGTATTTAATGACGTGTAGAAGAAATGTATAAAAATTATACTTAATTTTTAGTTTTAAGAGGGAGATATTACTGTAATTGTACTTTTTACTAAAAATTAAATAAAAAGTGTTCTATTCTATTATTTTCGTTCGAGTAGTAACTCTCAATATAAAAAAGACAAGAAGTAAATTTTCACTTCTAATATTATATTCAATAAAATTGTCCTTCAATTTTTCACCTGTAATTTAGGGAAGTGTTCTAACGTGACAGCAATATATAACTATTGTTGTAGAGTTAAAAAAGGATCTTTGTAATAAATAAATATGGAATTACATTGAAAAAGTTTATCATTGTAATATATTCCGATGTACTCATTCATTTCATTCAAAAGTAATACGGTACTTTCTTTAAGTTTAATCAAATAAATAACTTTTACTAAAATATTTTATCATCACAAATCTATTGCTGAACAAAGAATGCCACAAAGCCCTGACACACATGCTCTTTGGGTAACTTGTGAGAATATTAAAACCATACATCAAACGTATTAATGTCAACACTACTCCATGATGCGTTGTTTATTGTTTTACGCCTGATGCGTAGTAAATGCGTTTTATGGTTCGTTTTGATAAAACGTATTCAGATTTATGTTGCGATATTATGAGTTCAGAAGACTTTCATACTTATTGTGTAATAAAATACAGCAGAAACATTTATGTCATCCTTATTCAAGTTAAAGGTCTTTATATCGTAAAATTTGTTTTGTTTTACGCTTTTTATCTTATACTTTATTTATAAATTCACATTTTATTTAAAATATTACACATATTATAAGATTATATTATTTACATCTTCATATCCATTAAATATTTATGTTTTCAATGTTAGTGTTTGGTGTTGAAGTCTTTATGAGTTTTTAAAGACATTTTGGAACAATCTGTATAATTTGGTCTGACAACCTCGTTGGTCTAGAGGTAGTAAACGCGAATGCTTACGATGAAGTCCCGGGTTCGAATTCCAGGTCGGGTCAAAATAAGTTTTCGGGTTTTTCTGCAAGAAATTCTATGTAGCAGCCCGGAGTCAGAAAATTGGCAGTGTTTAACCACCGTGCCTCGTACAGCACGTAGAGCTGTTGCCCTGGGCCACATCTCTCCCCGGATGACCATCCCATCAGACTATGCATCTATTATGTATCTATTTCTATTATATATCTATTTGATATACATACACTCGGGAATTATAATCCTATCCTGCACATATTGTTATCCTCCGTTGGGACCGGCCGCCGTCACTGAAATTAATTTTGGAGGACATCATTATTAGGTCTATGAATGAAGGCTTTTATCTATTTTTGTCAATTTCTTGACTTGAATGTATTGGCAGAATAGCTGCGCATTGTGTTCGACTAGAAGATTAACATAACATCGTAAATTGCTCAATCCTTTACAGGAGCGATACATAATATGAATATTAATGTGCAATATTGTGTGGAACATGTCATAATGGCAATAACAACCGTTTACTGCTGATGCTATTGGCTTTGTTTCAAATTGTATGCCTACAAAAATATTAGTTTGACCTACATATAATTTTTCTGGGTCTGGATGTTTTTCTTTGTGAAATGTATGTATTTCAACTGCCTCCACGGTACAGGAGAAAATTTATGTGCTTGGGTAACGTTATTAAAAACTAAAGCATATTTGTGTAAATTGCTATAGATGTTAAACACTTCGTCGTGCATAAAAGAGACTAAGATAAATAAGGCGTTAAAGAGTAAAGAAACTAAATCCGCCTTGTTCATATTTATGTATATTTATATCAGTTGTTTACAATTAAATATTTATACAGCCCAACTAGATGAGAAAACTATATAGATAACCCATAACAATAATTTATTCAGATAGAAAAGTGATACAAAGTACTCGCAACAGTCAAACAATGCATCTTAAATACTAATTATGTTCTTAAAATGAACTTGCTTCCTAAGTTAGGTTAAACCCTGTGTTTTAGGTGAAGCAAAGCTCTTCCCACTTACACAAATCCTTAAATAAGAAACACAAAATATCTTGAAATAATACAAGACTAACCAAAAATAAATTAATCCTTAATAATTTAAAACACATGCACAGATCAAAATATTTAAGAGAGAAGTAATAAATCGATATCTATGAACACTTAGGTAAGTACAGGCAACAAATTCTCCGTTTCATTATAAGACTTATGTTGTAGCCATTTTCTGAGCAACCATTCTCAGCACCCATCTACCCGGATTCAACTGCCAAGGAGGAGTATTTAAGATAATAACAGCGCATTTGATTGTCTAAATTTATTATAAATCTGGTCGTTCAAAACGAACAACATTTCGTAAATTACGTGCGAGTTTAGGCCGACATGAAGTCCTACTGAGCGTGCAATTTGCAAAATTATTGATCTTTTTTAAAAAACTGATTCAGTGGAAGGTTGTAAAACGTATCTACATGTTCATCTAGTTCGTACTCCTGATGCAGTGGTGGTTGTTATTGAAAGTGTTCGTAATGAATCAAGAACATAACCTGACATCGTTCACAGGAACTAAACATTTCACGAACCACATTACGACGGATTTTGCATGTTAATCTTCATTTGCATCCATAGAAAATTCAACTAACTCAACAAGTGAAGCCACCAGACTATTCCAAACGTTGTCATTTTGTTTATTGATCGAAAGTTTGTTATTGGACGAAATGGTTTTTAATAAAAAATCATCTTTAACGATGAAGCCTATTTTCATCTTAATGAGTACATAAATAAACAAAATTTTCGAATTTGGGGAGCGGAGAACCCTCATGCTATTCACGAAGCAGAACATCATCCTCCGAAAGTCACAGTTTGGTGTGGTTTATGGACCAGTGGTATTATTGGGCCGTTTTTCTTTGAAAGCGAATAAGAAAATGCCCTTACATAGAATGGGGAACGTCATCGCAACATGTTAAGTGGTTTTTTTTTGACTCATATTGAATGAATTGGGTGTCAACGACCTCTAGTTTCAACAATATAGAGCGACATTACACGCAAGTCGTGCAACACTCCATTAATTGTCAACACTCTTTACTGATCGCAAAATTTTAAGAAATTCTGAAGTTATTTGACCACCAAGAAGCCTGGATTTAACACTACTTGATTATATATTGTGGGATTATTTGAAAGGTAAGGCGTACGTTAATCATCTACAAACAATTAAACAATTTAAAACAACAGTCGAGCTGAAATTGAGGTCATTGATCCAATTTTATTGAAAAAAGTCATGAAATTTTAATGTTCGTATGCTAGCCTGTAGAGGAAGCCTAGGTATTATATATACGGTATTGTTTTTCATGCATAAATGGCATAGAGCCACCTCTTATTGTCAATAAAAAAATTACTTTTCATATCAAAATGTGTATTTTATTTACAAATGAAAAAAGGACTAACAGATAGCGCAGCCTTTATAACTTTTGTTGTAGAAATATGAAAAATGATCTTCGTAAATAGAATCACATAGAAATAGAATCACATAATATATAAAACGAAGTAGTCTTTCATTTCATACAATAGTAATACGGTATTTTCTTTATGTTTAATCAAATAAAAAGCTTTAATTTAAATATTTATAATCACCATAATCATCACAGCCCATCAGAAGTCCACGGCAGAACAAAGCCCCCCTCCCCCACCCCACCTAAAGAAAGTCACAAAGCTCTGTCCTCAGCCATCTGCATCCACCGAAGTTTGGATGGTAGATTCATCTGCATCAACCATCCAAGAAGTGATGACCTGGTAATGCAAATCGTCAGTCCATCTAGTGTGGTTGAGGTCAATATTACAATTTAAATTAAACTATGTTAATGGCTTCAAAATGATGTTGACGTATCAGCCTAAGGTCTCAGTGGAGAACTTTTATTTTAATGTAAGCTTTTTCATTTATATAATACGTGGTAATCATATATATATTTGTCCATAACAATTATGTTGATATCTCAAACAATGAAGAATCAGAGCTCTGTTTATCCTAAGATTAAGCGCCAACGTATAATGCAGCCTTCCCCTCTAATTACTAAAGCAAACTTTAGCTTGCAGAAAGCCAGATAACAATGAAATGTCATCGCTCATATAATCCTCTGTTCAAAGCACCCGGAAACATTTATTTACGTCGCAAATCCAGTTGATAAATATTTTTACTGGTGTAACAATATGTAAATTGTAAACTCAAGTTTTTGTTAAACAGTATATTATAGATGGTAAGGTTAGCACACAGTTCACCTGATGGTAAATGGATGTTGTGACCCATAGGCATCCAGATCTATCTTCAATTAAGTATCAATTTTCAGATGCGTTGTCACACTTGATGATGACAACGCATCTGCTTTGTCATCCTCAAGGAGATAGAATGCCTCATTTCCAGTAACAAGGGTCTCTGGTTCTTTACATTCACCATACGAAACACAGCGGAGTCAAGTGCTGATTAACAACATGTTCGGCGGTGAAGAGAAGTATCATAACCGAATAATGAAATATTCTGTGGACATGTGAAATCTGCCAACACGCATTGGAGCGTGAATAACCTTGAACTTGTCTTTTCTAAACATTTGTAGTCGTGATGCTTAATACCCCTCTAATATACAATGGAATCAAGCTTAACAATGTAAAAAATAATAAATTAAGAAAGAAATAAAATATATAATTTAAATTCTTGTATACATGCTATAATTTTATGTTGAAAACTCTGTTCACCTTTTTAAGAACAGGACAGGAGATATCTCGGATAAGAGAAACTATCGCCCAATCTCCCTCGCTACTACGATAGCTAAGATATTGGATAGTCTGCTTGACTCTTGCTTACAAAATTACTTACACCTACATGATGCGCAGTTCGGTTTCCGGCCCGGACTATCGACTGAAAGCGCAATTTTGAGCCTCAAGCATACTGTGCAATATTACACAGACCGGAGAACTCCTGTTTACGCCTGTTTTCTGGACCTCTCCAAGGCCTTCGATCTCGTCTCATATGATGTACTTTGGAGGAAGATGGAGGACAGGGGTATTCCAGCAGAGATAATCAATATCTTTCGGTATTGGTATGCAAATCAGACCAATCATGTTAAATGGTCAAACAGTCTCTCCGAGTCGTACAGATTGGAGTGCGGAGTGAGGCAGGGAGGGTTATCGTCTCCGAAGCTCTTCAACCTGTATGTTAACGATCTCTTAGTGGAGCTCAGCAGCATGCGTGTTGGATGCCGTGTGGGTGGTGTTTGTATCAATAGCATCAGCTATGCGGATGACATGGTGTTGCTGGGTCCCACTGTAAATGCGATAAGAGAGATGTTGAAGGTCTGCGAGACTTACGCTGCCTCGCATGGTCTCGTATACAACACTGAAAAAAGTCAATACATGGTCTTTAGGGTCGCTGGCAGGTGTCCGGAATCTATCCCTGCAATAAACTTAAATGGATCGGAGCTAAAGCGGGTTTATCAGTTTAAATACCTAGGGCATATTCTTGCCGACGACCTTAGGGATGATCTAGACATAGAGAGGGAGCGTAGGGCTTTGGCGGTGCGCGGCAATATGCTGGCTCGTAGATTTGCCCGCTGTTCGGACCAGGTCAAGATAACATTATTTAAAGCGTATTGCCAGGGTCTGTACACGGGTGGTCTGTGGATTAGGTATGCCAAAAAATCGTTAAACACCCTGCGAGTCCAGTACAATAACATTTTCAGGATGATGTTGGCACTCCCCCGCTTCTGTAGTGCTTCTGGCATGTTTGCACAGACCAGAACTGATGGTTTTCATGCCATAGTTCGGAAAAAAGTAGCGTCGCTGATAGGAAGGATACGGAGAAGTGACAACAGCATCCTGAGAACGGTGGCAGATGATCCGCATGCGCCTATTGTGAGGCACTTCGTGCGAACGATGACTCATACAGAGGATGGTTATTCTTCTAGGTGTCGACCGCACGGAGTGCCTCTCAGGTACATGACAAATTAGAATTTAAGTTAATCTAATTTTATTTCTGATTTGATTTGATTTGATTTAATTTGAATTAATATGATTTTAGTTTGAATATAATTTAATTAAATTTTTTATAAGTACTAACACTTAGTTTATAAGCGATAATGTAATACTAACCCATGGATCTTTGTTGTCTGAAATTAAATGAATTTGAATTTGAATTTGAATTTTTAAGCATATTTTAAGAACTTATATAAAACTTGTGTTACAAATACATAAAATATAATATTACATTCATTGTTTACCTTCATACTGCCAATGTCTAACACAACAATCTGTGGTCAAACAGTCACACGGAAAAGGGATTGTTGTCATATATTCATATATTAGTATGCAGTTAGAAGCATAAAAAAACTTTTGTTAAATAGAAATAGAAATAGAAATGTATTTATTTAACCAAAAAACATTACATAATTAAGCAATACACTGGTTTCTGCACTAAGCTCTAGGCTTGTATCGCAGGAACCAAGAACCTTGATTGACACCGTTTACACCGATGAATACATAGAACTCCGATTAAATTAAAATAAAGAGAAAAGAAAACATTTTTTTTTTTTGTATAAATTAATGCATGAAAGAAAGAAAAAAAAACAGCTAATTTACGTGTGCGCGTGCGTGTGCGTGTGTGTGTGTGTGTGTGTGTGTGTGTTTGTGTGTATGGGGGGGGGGGTTGCGTGCTTGCGCGTGTGTGTGAGTGAGTGTAAGTCTACGCGTGTGCATGTATAGGGTCAACTATGAAAGGAAAGTAAGTTTTCCGTTTCCTGATAAGAAGCATGTAGCAACCAGGTTGTTATTTTGTGTTTGACTTTACTTGTGGACAAAGACCTCAAATCTGGGAAGAGATGGCAGAATTTGTTGTAAATGCTAGGCAGAAGAAATGGTGAGTGGCGTTTGATAAAGCTACTGTGTGGATTGGGAATCGGTACTCGAAAGATCCGACGTTGGCACAGGTTAAGATAATCCGGGGAATTTATTATTTTTCTGTGGGTTAGAATAACTGCCTTTAAAATGTAGATTTGGCGAACACGTAGCACCTTACATTCCTTGTACAGTTCGTCAGTTGGAAATCTAAAGTTTTTAGACAGCATTACTTTTAGTACTGCTCGCTGGGCCCTCTCGACTTCAAGCATTTTTGTTTTGATAGCTCCACCCCAAGCCAGCGTGCAGTAGTATAGTAGGGATTGGGTTAGTGCTTTGTAAACCATTTTCATTGTTTCTTTAGTAGCACAGCGTCGCAAAGCTTTCATTATGTAAATGGTTTTCCTAACACTACCCGACAAGCAGCTTAGATGGTTTTTAAATGATAGCTTATCATCAATGATCACTCCTAGATACCTGATGTTATCTGTGTTGCTGATTATATTACATCCGCAAGAGGGAACTTCAGATTCGCAAGTGTGAATTACTAAGTTTACCGGCGAAAATGGTTTTGATGCGAGAGTTTTGTGAAAGGCTATGAACTTAGTTTTTTTATAGTTTAGAGTTAGTAAATTGGAACTTAACCATTTATTCAACACTACCATGCCTTTTTGAGCCGTCTCTAGTACGCTGTCCCAAGTTAAATCGTTAAATATAATGGCTGTGTCGTCCGCATAGCATATGACGTCAGCTCTTTGTATGGGTAATTCTAGGACGTCGTTAATGTAAATACAGAATAGGATTGGACCAAGAATACTTCCTTGAGGAACTCCAATACTGATTTTTAATTGCTTACTTGTATGTGAGCCCACTCTTATACATTGACGCCGATTTAAGAGATAGCTACGGAACCAAGCCAACGCCACTCCTCTAATTCCTTTTGTTTCAAGCTTCCGCGGTAGTATAGGTACCGACACGGTGTCGAAGGCCCTAGCAAGATCTAGGAAGATACCTAAACAGCTGCGTTTATTGTCCAAATATCTAGACACAGCATCTGTCAGTAGGACTACCGCATCCTCCGTGGACTTACCCCTCCTGAAGCCAAATTGATTTACAGAGAGCAGATTATTATTTTCTATAAAGTTGGTGAGGCGCTTGCTTACAATTTTTTCCAGTAACTTGGAAAATATACTTAGCAAAGATATGGGCCTGTAATTGCTAGGACAGTTTTTATCCCCATCTTTGTGTATTGGAGTAACAACTGCTAATTTCCAACAATTAGGAAAAATGCCACATAACAAGCTAAGATTAAATATGTGGGTAAGTGGTTGCAGAACTGTGTTTTTTATGTGTTTAATTAACCTTGGGGTGCAGCCGTCGATACCTGGTGCAGTATCATTTTTTAGCTTAGCATTTTTTAGCATTTTTTAGCTAGTAATCTAATTGTGCATGCCTTAAACGCATTAAAAATTAAGTATAACATGATTATACGTAATTTTTTTAAAGTAGTTTAAATACACACAAGTTTTCATTAATAACTTTATTATTATACTTCCAACTTTCAAAAAATTAATGTCAAACTTCAATTTAAAAAAAGTATGGAAAATTAAAAAGTGCACGACTCATAGTACTCTTGATCATCATATCATCTTTTAGGTCACTCCATAAAGTCCAAGACGTATTTAAGTATAAATATACTTCATCATACTACTACTACATCATACTTACTTTGAGTACAAAGTATTTATTTATTCATTCATTCATTCATTCATTACAGCCCTTCACAAGTGTACTGCTGAACATAGGCCTCCCCCAAAGAATGCCACAAAGCACGGTCCTGAGCCACCTGCATCCATCGACTTCCTGCATATCTTACCAGGTCGTCACTCCATCTAGTGGGGGGACGCCCTACACTTCGCCTGCCGGTACGAGGCTGCCACTCGAGAACCTTTCTTCCCCATCGGTTGTCGGTTCTTCGAGCTATATGGCCGGCCCATTGCCACTTCAGCTTACTAATCCGTTGGGCTATGTCGGTCACTCTAGTTCTACTGCGGATATCCTCATTTCTGAGTTTATCACGCAGAGAAACTCCGAGCATAGCCCTCTCCATAGCTCGCTGAGCGACCTTGAGCTTCCTCATCCGGCCAGCAGTGAAGGACCACGTCTCAGTTCCGTATGTCATCACTGGCAATTTATTTATTCTGTGCTTTTAAAATATTGTGATAAAAATCTCTGATTATTATGATAATCAAGTATGTATTATATTGGTTTTTCGAATATTTTGTATTTGTACAGCGATATTTTTGAGCCGCTGCGAACAACCGATACAGTATCCACTCATGACAGCAGTTTTCGCCGAAGTGAGTGAGTGAGGCAGTCTATTTATTAGTAAAATAAATTATTACAAGGCTGCCAAAATACCGAAAATTTCCGGATTTCTACGCTAAAAACAATTAATTATAACTAAACAAAAGAAAATTTGTTTTTGTGTTTGTCTCCATCTTCATCATAGATGAAGAGGTTAAAAGTAGATTGAGATGAACAATTGGTAGTTGCAAAAGTTATCGTGCTTACCACTTCATGCGGACTTGATAAATCTACACCATTAGCCACTAAAACTACTTTTGTTAATGTAAAAATAGCATTTAATCGATTTAAAAAAATATTAATAAGTGCAACAATCATTTATCTTTCTGAAAATGTGCTTTTATATCATTAATATGTTCAATACAATTGTTAGATACGATTTTATGCGACAAAACGTTGGAATGTTAATTTTTCGCGCTTGTAGAACATACCTACGCGCTTGCGCTTAAGGCAGGCACTGAGACATATGTATGTATAGTGAGCTTGATAATACATAAACTTAAAATTTAATGGATTACGGTCGAAATTTGATAACAATTTGCTGTTTCTCCATATGGTATTGGCTGAAATCATTTTGAGTATTTAAATAAAAACATTTTAAATAACATGGTTGAAAACCAAGTGACTATGAGGAAAGTATGAAACAGATGCAGTCTTCAACACGTAGGTATGTAAGTAATGACTGAACATCAAAATTGAGAACGCTTTCATTGTTACTAAGATGTAAGTTTTCTATCTCACTGACATAATGGTATCAATCCTTATCAGTATTAGATGTCTTATATTTTCACAATTTTACCATCAAACAAAGTAACTGCAGAACATGTTACTTCAATAAACTTCAAAATTCTGTTTATCATGAAATCATAAATAAATAACGCCTTAGTTTTCCTAGATGTTTTATTCATTCAAAATCCTAAAAAAATTATAGGCCAATCTCATCATCATTCTTCACAGCTAGCTAGCGTGCAAAATAACAGCAAAAAAATCTGGCCGCCAAGCTTTAGCACATCAAGCAAATTCTACGACAACAAGCATCGGGCCCCGCGCCTACGTCACAGTAACCGAGTGAAACCGGCCACAGTCGAGCGTCTGTCTGTTTTACTAAAATAATATGGCAGAGGAGTTACAAACAAGACTGGCTACACGGACTTCCTTAAGAACATACTACAAGCCGTCGAAGAAAATTATTCAGTTTTTACCGTCCATCAAGTGTAATATTCCTCTTCAATACGCAGGAGTGTACAACATTGCTTGTAAATGTGGTATCTCTTGTAAAAGGCAAACATAAAGATCTATAAAAACATGCGTCAAACATTATTATACCTGTCTATTCTATACATTATAAAGTCTGTGATCATATTCCAAACAAACCCTGCCATTACAACAGATTTGAAAGATCACAAATTCTCGTTGATCGTCAACTCCTACCAGGTATGATACGTAAGGCTATTGAAAATAAAAAAATCCATGCTTAGAATCTTGTAACAAAAAAAAGGTTAAATACAAGTTTCACTGCAAGATTTTAACATACAGTAAGGTCGTTCTGCTTATATTTTAATCAATAATTTTAAAGCTGAAGATACTCCGGGTTAACTTTAATACCATGAAGTAAAATATCGTAATCCCACCATAAGTGCTGTAAAGCACGCGAAACGATAGGAATTAAAAATAAGTAAAATTAAACGCGATAAAATCTGTAAAACAAGTTTTAATTTGTAAATGTTTCCCTCGAAAATTGTGTTCAACCA